GATGACTTCAAAGTCGTGCGCGTTTATGAGGGTGGTTAGAGGGGGCTTTTCGTTGGATGATGAGGTACGTTCTATGTTTTGTTCTGGGGGTTCTTTGAGCCATTCATCGTCGATGGTGCTTTCGTCTATAATGCCCTTGAGTCTTTCAGGGGGCAGGTTATTCTGGATAAGACTTGGGGGATGGATTTCTGAGTATGCTTTTGTTGCATCTCGTCCAGCATATTTGAGGATGACTACCGGGGACAGTTAGTAAGGGTGGCACCGTACAGCACAAAAAAATAATACGGTGAATAATTGTACACATACTGTTCGGTCCTCCAGGATGCTCGGAGAGAAAATCTGTCACATCCCAAACCTGGTTTTCAACAGCAATCCAGCAATCGTTGGACGTGTTATGTGCACCAACTTCCCGTATAGAAATAGTTTGCCGGTGAAATTTTGACATGGTTGATAGAATTATATTTACTCTTTCTTTTGTTTCAGCCAATGCTTAGGACGGTCTTCCTAGTTTAACCAGTGCGATATAAACAAGCCCCTTGAAAACTCAGTATATAATAAATCAATAAAGTGAAGAACAGTCGGTCAAGCCACGAATACGGAAATCGAATTGTAACTCGGGAGTGCTGTACAACTGCCGTGATTTAGCAAAAATTTATCATTGACCTGGGATATAGCCAGCCAATCCATAAGAAGATGGTGCAGTCGTCCTCTTCTCAGGATGGCGGTGGGAGAAATGACCGTGGGTCTGTTGGGGGTATCATTTGACCAAGAACTGGCTGGGGGAGAATTGTTCGATGGAAGCCCCGAGGAGGTTGTTCGATTGGTAGTTGTTTTTCGTATGGGTTTAGAAGATGGGGTGGGTGATGTGGTAGTGCTGGAAGCTGCTGCGTGATGCTGGGAAGGCTGCGGAAGGGTGCGAGTTGCAAACCTTGAGGAGGGGGCTCATGCATGGTAGGCTGTTCTACAGGCTTTTGGCCAACGTCGCCCACCGCGATGTCGGCTAATGCACTCAATGCGGTAGGTGGTTCGTTGGGGATTGTCGTCACCGGCTTGCCTTCATCCCCGCGACGCTCTTCCTGCTGGCAAAGCTCAGT